CAAAATAAATAAGATTAAGAATTGAAGGATTTGGAGGTAATTTTCCCTTCCCAAACCCTATACTTGTCCCATCTCTTTCTCCTCTCCCATTTGCTTCGGCCGCCCCTCTTCCTATTCCAATGGCATGCTTTCGGCCGGCCCCTGCTTTCCTTATTCCAATTTTGCATGCAAATCCTCTCACCTTCGCCGCTAGCTGGTTAATGCCTGACTGACTCCTGGTGGTTGCTCATCACGGCGGCGGCTCGGCCACCTTTTCCCCCGGTCGCGATTTCTCCTTTTCGGGTTGTCCTTCCACCATTCAAGAAAACCAATGAGATGAAAGCATTCATCCTTGATGTTCCGGTTAGGTTGCAATGAGAACACTTGAGGCCGCTTCGATCAATTTTCCCTTGAAATAATGAACTTGCTGCTCCGTTTGCCAAGTCTGATCGTTCTGCGAACTTGCTGCTCCGTTTGCCAAGTCTGATCGTTCTGCGATTCACTATGCACCTGGATGTTTTTCTTCACCATCAACCTGGACCTCTCCCCCTGTCCTCTTGTGGCTAACCTGCTACCAATGCCTAGAGTTGCACCATTATCCATGGCTGCTGATGGACTGAGTATGTTCATCCGGGCGGCCTCCCTTTGGACAGTAGCATACACTGCTTCAACGGATGGTAAGGGAATTTCTTTCAGTAAATCACGCTTGACCGAATTAAATCGATCATCCATTCCGGCGAGAAATTGGTACAGTCAACTTTCTTGCTTTAATATGTTAAATGTAGAAATATTTGTTGTGCTTATAATTGAATTGGGTTATCTTTTGTCTATTTCTCGCCAAATTGCTTAAAAAATACTGTAATATTTTTCCAGTATTAGTTGCCCCTGTTGCTGTCTATTTGCTTTTATCATTAGGTTGAAGATTTGCAACGCATCTTCCCCACTCCGGTACAGAGCCGCCAGACCATCCCACAGGTCTTTGGCCTTCGGATATTCGACGTATGGCTAACTAAGTCCGGTTCAATGGCTTGGATGATCCATGAAAAAACTTGGAGATCTTTTTGTTGGCAAACACTGGGTCTTCTGTGGCTGGAGGTGGGGAATTTCCAGTGATATGGTCCAATCGTCCCCTTGCACCGATGGCCAATCGCATCAGTCTTGGCCACAAGGAGTAGTTGTGATCATTTAGTTTAATATTGATTGAGGCTATTTGGTTACTGTTTGATTGAATTGTGGTATGTTGTTTTAACAACTAGGCAATCTGTGTTGACAAGGCTTCTGTGGCTTCAGTCAGTGCCGAATTAACACTGTTGTTGGCTTCATCACTCATGTCGCTGGACAGGTAAGTTGTTGGTAAATGATGAACAAGTAATCGAACCCTAGGATCGATACTGCTCTGATACCATCTTAAATTTAGAGTTTTAGGTTTGAAGAAGAGGTTTCAATTCTCATTTTAATTTTTTTCTATATACAACTCTTATCTTATTAGACAATTTAATATAACTCTAGGGATCCTGTATCGTCTAATTTAGGAAATGATTGATCCTTCCATTAAGGTGGTCAATCCTTTCCTTTTACTGTACAAAGATTGATCCTATCATTAAGGAGGTCAATCCTTTCCTTGTACAATTTATTCTTCCATTAAGGTGGTCAATCCTTTCCTTTTACTGTACAAAGATTGATCCTATCATTAAGGAGGTCAATCCTTTCCTTGTACAATTTATTCTTCTAACAACCTTCTCCCCAGAAAAGGCCCCATCAAACTTAGTAACAGGTTCATGCGCTAAGACAAAAAAAAGCCCATGCTGCACATCGGACAAGTCACAACAATGAATCCAAGGGATAAAGATTATGAAAGAAACTCGTATTAATTAATTTAATTTACACTTCATTGTCAATGTCAAACCAGATTCAAAAACTAAAGAGGCATGGCTACCCTTTTCTTGCGAGCCAAAATAGAAGCATGATTTATATTACGGTCACCCAAAACCAATTAATCTTCCTTGCATTTCTAGAACTAGAACAACTCTTTTTGAAGAAGAACGGAGTTCAACTCAATTTGTAACTTACTTTCCAATCTCAAAAGTCTAGGGGGTCACTCTAAAGGCGAGACACCTCTGAATACCAGCAAGTTTATTCCACAATTGTTTTTTATTGGCAAAAATATTGCCAAACATGGACCGATGCCACCCTTGGAGAGAAGAGGAGAAATTCTTTAAGGAAACAGATATAGGAGTGGAACCATCCCACAATTTTTTCAAAGAAATTGCTAATACAAAGAGTTACGCGATCCTTTATAACATGATTAAACCACTTAACTCAACCTGTATGTATATTTTTGGATTTATAACATGTTTAAAGGATTGGAAGTATGTTGTGGATTATACTGCAGGAATAATCCTCTACTTTCAATAATATTAATCAAATTGGTGATAAAATTTTGGAATGGAGATGACTCGAATTTAAGACCTTTTCACTTGGCTTAAATCAAATAGGTATATTTGGAATAAAGTTCTGGTCATTCTTTTTAGATACATGTGAGACTCAATAAACCAGAATAATATTGTGGACTATGCAGTAGGGGTAGCCCTCTCCTTTGAATGACATTCACCAAATTGGTGATGATTTTTGTGGTAGAGAGGACTCGAACTCAACATCTCTCACTCCCTACATCTTTTATGAAAATTTATAATAATGAAAGATATTTTGAAAATTTAGAATTAGTTCAATTATTCGGGAGGTTGAGTTTTTCCCATGTATGAATTTAAATATGTATTTAAGTTGAGTGAATACATAAATTCACCCCATACTTTTTTTATAAAAAACTTTGTGACACTATAAACTCTTGTTTTGACAATTGAACAGTTTAATTTATAAAAACTAAACATGTTAATACTTTATTTGTCTTATTAAACACCTCAATTTATAAAATAAAATCGGTCATTTAAAGGATAGTTAAAATGTAAAAATTATTATTTCAAAAAATGTATTATACACATATCAAAATTATATTTATCTATTTAAATATAGTAGGTTTCTTGAACTTGTATTTGCACGTTATTTGTACTTGTTGATTTTACCGTTTCAAGTAAATGTAATTTAATTTATATATATATATTATATAATTTTCTATTAATTTAATATAAATTATAATATCATGAACAATTTATATTACTAAAAATCTAATAGTAGTCACAAAATAATACTATAAAAAATTCAATAACTAAATAACTTATTAATAAAATAATATATTTATAAAAATTATTATAATTGGACAACTAAATTTCTGAAAATAAAATTATTCATTAAGCAATTTAAGTTTTCTTATAATAATTTAAATTTAATTAACTTAATTTTTTTCATGTATAATATAATAACATAAACTATCCATATTACTAAAATATGAGAAAACAAGAATAGCTTCTATATTTTATCAATTAAAATAATAAATTTTTATTATTGTATTAATTAAAAACAAGAAAAAATATAATTTTATACCAATGATTTTTCCATTATGAAGAACAGGTCCGTTATTAATGCAATATGTACATCGAGAAATCTATTTCTTGTTATTGTCTATTGGGGTTCAGACGAATTAAGGAAATAGCAACACAAATTAACTAAAAAAGAATTAATTCCCAAAATAAGTTATTTAAAAGTGTAAAATAATAAAGTAAATAAACACTAAAAATAAAAATATATTAAATAAATAAATAAAATAAATTGAGATACCACGTGAGAAAATTTTCTCAAAATGAGGATTAGCTTAAGTTGACTTATTATGTTCTGAAGTTATGTTATAGAATAATACATATCATAGATAGATAACTATTATCATTTATAATTTTGATACTTTTTTTTTTTTTTACACTTTTTACTAAATTCCATGAGCATATATAATTAATTTTATAGTTACTTTTTTTACAAAAAAAATCTTTCAAGATTAATGGTTTGCTAATATAACATGTTGTATCATAACTTTATATTTTATATATATTTGTGGTGAGTTTTATTTTCATTTTATATCAAACAATAAATACTATATAAGATATTTATTGATAAATGATAATAACTTACATTTATTCTTTGTAGTTTAAATTATTTATAGGAAAATAATTATAACCAATCAAATTAAAGATACATTAAAAATAATACTTGACCAGTTCAAAAAAAAAAAAATCGAATATATTATATTCTTACCATATTTATTATATATCTTACTATAGCCAATAAAAAATTAAATTATATTCATTTTTCAATAATTAAAATTCTTAAAAGATATTATATTTTTATCATATTTAATATATAACTTATTTAGTATAAAATATATATTTTTTAGTTTATCCAATAAAATATAGATTTAGATAGAAAATTAATTTAACTAATCAAAATTAAACAATTTTTTTTCAACTAATAAAATTAAAATATTATATTCTTACCAAATTTAATATAAATCTTATATACTATATAAAATTTAGATTTAAATAGAATTAATATGACCAATAAAAATTAAATTACTTTGAAGAGTATTATGACAAAAAAGGTTTAATGGGTATAAGACAGGTGGTTTCCAAGATTCATGTCTTCTCAAGACTTAGCTCCATTTTTAATTGATAAAATTAAAATTTTTAATAATATTTTTGTTAATTCATAAAATCAATAGAGATTATTTTTTACGATTTCAACATTTTTTCGGTCATGTCCACTTTTATTGTGACATGCAATTATCATTAAAATTACTGAGAAAAAAATTAAAAAATTAAAAGTTCTTAAATTACCTTAAGGCCTCTTCAGAATTAATAAAGTTATAACATTCATCTAAGGTGATTTAATTATTCACAAATACACTTCATTTTACTTTAAAAAAAACAAAATTATTAAATGAACTTTTGGAAGAGGAGTTTGCTTGATTTTGAAGTTTCTAGAATTTGGAAAAGGAGTTTCCCACACAATAATTTCAAGTCCTATTTTGTCATTTCAAACTGGCCTTTTTGTTCTTTTGGCTTTTGTTATTTTCCTTTCCCTTTTCATTTTTCCGACTCTGTTTCAGACTGTGCAGAGAAAGAGGAGAGAGAAAAGCACACAGAACAGAGCAAAGTAACAAAGAAGAGCTGTGTGCCTGTATCTCCGTCCGTTCCTAGAGCTCTGTGTCTCCGTTTTCCTTCATCTGCATGGAAAATCTATCACATTCTCGCCAACCAAACATAGTCTCCAAGAGAAGCTGCAATGGCAGCACTAATAAGTTCACTTACGACGACGTGTTTGGTGGCCCGCCTAAGTTCGGAGCCCCGACTCTGTCGCCTCGGGTCGAGGATTACAGCGAGATATTTGGCGGTTTCCACGAGTCACGAGCCTCCTCCATTCCTGTCCTCGATCTCCCATTGGCCTGCAATGAAGTAGCCGAGGTTTTCTTCGATGTACGAAGCTCCGGTTTTGACTATCGTGAAGTTTTTGGAGGAGTCAATGGCCATGATTTTGCAGTATCTTACGAGGAGTTGTTTATGATGGACCAATCCAACGGTTTTGGTGATTCCTCCGACGAGGCTTGGTATGCTCAGGAGCTTCCTTTTTCTTTTTGGTATAAAATGTGTGTAAAATGTATATATAATGTTATTTTGCTTTTAGTTGCTTTGTTTGAGTTTCAAATTTCTACAACTTTTTAGCCTTTTATTTTTATTTTTTTATTTTTTATTTTTTTGCATTGTTTCAAAATTAGCTTGAGTTTCAGTTGTTATTTTATTTTTGTTGTTTTGAATTTTGCGTTAGTTAAATTTAAAGGAACTGAGGAATATTGTAGATTAGGATATAGGGATTGTGAGAAGAAAAAGGTATTAAGGGTGAGGTATTGCTGTTGGGGATGTGTATTTTAGTGATGTGGAGCAGGACAAAGACTTTGGTTGCAACAAGATGCTTACAGCCCAGCGATTTGTTCAAACTTCAAGGGGAAGTATTTCATCAACCTCCATTTCCGATGGCATGGCATCTGGAAGTTAAGGTATCTTTTCCTTTTCCTTACTTTTTTAACTGTTTGATTATGTGTATTTCGCAGGATGCTTTTGTTCTGTTGGATTCCTTTGCATAATATGTACTAGTGTTATATTAGGAGATTGAGTAAAAAGGCAATAAACAATTTGTATTGATCAGCATGTTCTTTTTTTTTTTTTTTTTTTTTTTTTTTTTTTTTTTAAAAAGGCACATAAACAATTTGTATTGATCAGCATGTTGTTTCTTTTTTTTTTTTGTTTTTTTTTTTTTTTTTTTTTTTTTTTAAAATGAAAATTTCAGTCATAAGATTTTTTTTTTTTTTTTTTTTTTTTTTTTTTTTTTTTTTAAAATGAAATTCAGTCATAAGAACACAAGTAGTCAGACTGGAGCATATTTTCTCTTGCCTAGAAGGGGCATGAGGAGGGGTTGCTGTGACAGAGAAATGGTCAATGACTTACTTAGGACTACACCTCTTCGAGGATGAATTGCTCATCTCTGTCTCATTTCTTGTTTTGGTCCATTCCCCTGCTTGGGAAACAAAAAGAGTTCACTGTGGGTTTATAGATATATATTCATATACAAATAATATATTGTGTCATTTGTATCTTTGGTACAAACATGGGCTTTTCTTTGCAATGACAAGGATGCCCTTTTAGTTAGCTAAGGGCAAGACCTGCAAGAGACTCCTATCATGTTAAGGGAGAGCATTCAACTTGCTTTGGTGTGTTATTGCCAACTAGCTTGAAACTTAGTATGTTACTAGAAGAAACAAAATATTCTTTCTTTGACTTCTAAGCCCCAAAACAATTTGATTCAGAGGGCAGTGCACAAAAATTAATGTCATTGCTTCAAGTTGTTCATTTCTTGCTTTTTGTTCAAAATTACGGTCATTGTTGAGATTCTTGATGATTTAGGCAGTTGGTTCTTTGAGGGGGACTGCACAATTTATTATTTTCTTTTACTGGTAAACATGAAATTTTTTTTTTGTTTTAACATCCGGTGTCCGAAGCCCATTAGCCGACTAATCCAGATTCGCAATGGGTAGGCCCACAAAGGGGGGGTAAAACGCTCCCTCTCGAGTGTTTAAAAGGATTCCATACTCAGAGCTCAAACTTGAGAACTCTGGTTAAGGGAAAAAGGATCCTTGCCATTCCATCTCACCCCTCGGGTGTTGGTAAACATGAAATTTTAATTTACATGTAGTTATTTTAATAGTAATTTTTTCCCACTGATAATAAATAAAGCATATTATTGACTTAGTTTTCAACACGTTTATGCATATGCGTGTGAATGCCTAGTTTCCATTATGTTCAATATTTGTCTATGAATGCCTATGTTTTGATGCCTTCAACTGTTTTTCTTGGTCTGAAATCATTCTTTATTATCTACTCTACTTTATGCACTGGGCTCATGGTTATAGCTAATGGCTCCATTTCTTGAGCTTCTTATGTTCCTGTGTGCTTTTGTGTAGATTACTGAGATCACTTTGACATTATGATGCCACTGACAATTCTTTGATGTTTTTGCCAGCAACGCTGAGAAGCTGAGTTGCTTTTATCCCATCCCCTGAGCTGCCGATTGCATTACATGGGTGGCTGAGAGAGCCAATACACCAGTTATATCACTCTCCATTGATGCAGGAGAAAGTGAAACTGATTTGTGGCACACTATTATTTGACATTTATTTTTGAGTGAAACTGATCATGTGTGCAACTGTGGTTTGTGAAGTTTTTAAGGCTCGTTATAAGATGTTCTGGAGGGAGATTGACGTCATTCTTTACCAATAAGAAGAGAAGTTCTAATTGACTTGATTCATTATGATTTTTATCGAATTGTGGAAAGGAATTTAATGTATGCTGACATAGCTGCTAGATTCCGCTGGTAGCTTTATGCACTGAAAGGTTGCTTGTGCATATGAAATGACATGGCTTATCTGAAAATTTATGGATCTAAGAAATGGATGATTTTGCATGCAATCTGATGCTTCTATTGCTATCTGCTACTGTCAGCTCTACGGGAAATAGCAGACTGCTTATATGACTAAATCTTTTATTTTTTAAAATTATTATTATTTATGGTGTGTGGTTGTGTGTTTCTATGTGTGTCTATATATGTTTAGATATTATTATTATTATTATTATTATTATATTATTATTTATTATTACTATATATTGTTATTATTATTATTATTATAATTATTATTATTATTATTACTATTATTATTGTTATTATTATTATTATTATTATTATTATTATGATGCGGGTTCTGTATCCTTACTTTTATTGGATGATAAACCATAAGCATTTTAATCTATCTTCACCAAGCTACTTTAGAACTTGGTGCTAAAGTATCCTTTCCTGTTTTCTCATTAATAGGACTCCAGCAGAAGCTGAAAATCTATCAGAAGAGTTGGATCATTCTGCAAAGGATCAATGCTTATCAAATGGTGACTTATATGATTCGGTTGATGGTGGTATCGAATTTGACATAGCATATAATAAAGCTGGTCAAAGAAGCAATGAAGATTTGCGAAATGGGATCACGCACATGACACAGCTGCACGATGTTTCTGGATACACTTTTGTTGTTGATAAAAGCACTTCCTTGCCAAAGACAGACTACGAGTACCAATATCTGCTAGAAAATGATGATTATCTCAATATGGACTGCAGTGGGGAAATGTTGAGAGGAAGGCAACTCAGAAAAGTCATGTCACACCCAGTCAATGGTAGTACTGATGGGCTATTTGAAAATGATTTTGGAATGCACAGGGAATTTGTCAGAAATGGCTCTCTTCCGAACGAGACGTTTGTAACAATTTCTGATGTCAGCCTTAAGACTCGGCCTTCTCATTTGCCACCTCCTTTTAGACCACCGCCTGCATTAGAAGTTAAAAAGGAAGATTATGCTGAAGCAATTCCAAACTGTAAAAATGTTGCCTCTGAAGAGACAGCTGGAGATAGTTCTCCTCGCTACTTTGATGTAGAGGTAGATGCAAGTTCATCAGCTGCAGCTTCTGCTGCTTCTTTGAAAGAAGCAATGGAGAAAGCTCAGTCAAAGCTCAAAAGTGCCAAAGAATCAATGGAGAGGAAGAGGGAGGGTTTTCAAACTCGTAAATCAGGTTCAAAGAAGGGCAGAGAAGATAAGGTAGAAAAAGTGACTAAGATTGTAAGTGGCTCTGATAGTAGGCAAGATGATAGAGGGCAGAACACTAGTCAAAGAGAAGATAATGGAATGGAATTTTCAATTTTGGAGGAGAAGCAGAAAGTTAAAATGACAAGCCAGCCAATTTCAGACTCATTAGAAGGGAAAAAGCATCTAAATGTTGCCAAAAGAGCTGCAGATGAGAATCATGGAAGGGAATCCTTGTCATCTCAAGGGTCTGATAGAATTGCTGGAGCTGGTGAGTGGAAAGAAGCTACTCAATTTTTTGAATGGGAAGTGAATGAAAAGAGACACAAAGAGACGCGCGAAAGAGAAGAAAATGAGAAGAGACTGAGAGAGGCTCGCGAAAGAGAGGAGAATGAGAAGAGACTGAGAGAGGCTCGCGAAAGAGAGGAGAATGAGAAGAGACTGAGAGAAGCTCGCGAAAGAGAGGAGAATGAGAAGAGACTGAGAGAAGCTCGTGAAAGAGAGGAAAATGAGAGGAAGCAGAGAGAAGCTCGCGAAAGGGAGGAGAATGAAAATGAGAGGAAGCAGAGAGAAGCTCGCGAAAGGGAGGAGAATGATGAGGAAGAGACGTGAGAGAAGGCGTGGCGAAGAGAGAGGGAGAATGGAGGAGAGAGACTGAGAGAGCTCGTGAAAGAGGGAAAATGGAGAGGAAGCAGAGAGAAGGCTCGCGAAAGGGAGGCGGAATGAAAAATGAGAGGGAAGGCAGAGAGAAGCTCGCCGAGAGAGGGAGGAGAATGAAGAAGAGAACTTAGAGAAGAGCTGCGCGACAGGAGAGAGAGACTGGAGAAGGAGACAGAGAGGAAGCTCGAGGAAAGAGAGAAAGATGGAAGAGGAAGCCAGAAGAGAAAGCTTTCGAAAGGGAAGGAAAATGATGAGGAGGCAGAGAGAAAGGCTCGCGAAAGAGGAGGAAGGTGAGAGGGAGAGGTGAAGAGAAGCTCGGCGAGAAGAGAGGAAAGTGAGAGGAGACAGAGAGAAGCTCGCGAGAGAGAGTGAAATTTGAGAGAGGAATTGAAAGAGGCTTTGGAGAGGAAGAGAGAATTGAGAAGGAGAGCTGAAAGGAGACTCTTGAGAAGGGAAAGAGGAGAACGAAGGGAAGGCTGCTGGTGAGGAAAATGAGAGGAAGCAGAGAGAAGCTTTCGAAAGGGAGGAAAATGAGAGGAGGCAGAGAGAAGCTCGCGAAAGAGAGGAAAGTGAGAGGAGAGTGAGAGAAGCTCGCGAAAGAGAGGAAAGTGAGAGGAGACAGAGAGAAGCTCGCGAAAGAGATGAAATTGAGAAGAGATTGAAAGAGGCTTTGGAGAAGGAAGAGAATGAGAAGAGACTGAAAGAGACTCTTGAGAAGGAAGAGAGACGAAGGGAGGCTGCTGTCCGGGAAGAGAATGCAAAGAAAGAAAGGGAGGCCTGTGAGAGAAATGACAAGAGGTTCAAAGAGGCTCTTCAGAAGGAAGAGAATGAGACGATACTCAAAGTGGATGTTGAGCAAGAAGAGAATGATAAAAGACTAGGTGAAACTCATGAAAGAGAAGAAAATGAGAAGAAACAGAGGGAGGATCGCAATGTATCAGACCAATCATGTAAGCTGGATGATGATAAGAACTCTGGAGCTACTCAATTAACTGGCATGCATGAGGGGAACAATGAAAAACTGGAATCAGCTAAGGAGTTTGGTCTTGAAGAAACTAGCAATAGATTGGCCAAACAAAGAAATAGTGAAAAGGAAGTAGCATCTGGCATAGAACATGATAGGAGCCAAGTTGTCACGAAAGATTTGACTAGCAATGAACAGAAGACCATTGAAAATGTTTGGAGCACTTTCCAAGTTGATTCAGATGCTGGAGATCAGGGTAAGAAATTTGCTTATGAAAAGTGTGATATAGGAAAGAATTTTGAGCAAACTCAAGTACCCTTAAATCAGGGAAACAAGGATAATTTTGTGTCGGCTAGAATAGTGAAAGAATCAGTTGAAATGGGAAGGAAACTGGAAGGAGCTCAGCCAGCTATACTTGAAGTAAAAGGAAGCACTCACAGGATGACCCAGCAGGTTAATGCAAGTCAGAGCATTGAGAGAAAAGTGAAGAATTCTAGTGAGACCCTTTCATCAGAATGCAAAGACTCTGAAAGAATGAAGAGAGAAAGAGATCTAGAAATGGAACGCCTTAGAAAGATAGAGGAAGAGAGGGAGAGGGAGAGGGAAAGAGAGAAGGATAGGATGGCTGTTGACAGAGCAACAATGGAAATGCGTGAAAAAGCATATGTTGAAGCTAGGGAGAGGGCAGAACGTGCTGCTGTGGAAAGAGCAACGGCTGAAGCTCGACAAAGAGCTCTGAATGAGGCTCGTGAAAGACTAGAGAAGGCGTGTGCAGATGCTAGGGAAAAGTCTGATAAGGCATCCATGGAGGCAAGGTTCAGGGCAGAGCGTGCTGCAGTAGAGAGAGCAACTGCAGAGGCAAGGGAGCGTGCTTTTGAGAAAGCAGTGGCTGAAAGGGCTACCTTTGAGGCAAGAGAACGTGTAGAAAGATCTGTTTCAGACAAATTCTCAGTATCTTCCAGAAATAGTGGAATGAGACCAAGTTCTTCCACCTCTGTGAGTACATTCTTGTTGTTACTTTTCTTTTCCTTGGCGCACAATCTCCAACAGAGTTTTGATGGATGTTAAATGGCAGGATCTACAAGATATGCAATACCAAGGTGCTGGATCACTTAGTGGTTCAAGATATCAATATTCCATGGTATATAATGGTACGGGATTTAATCAATTAAGAACCAGCCTTGTGTTTTTGTGGACTGGAATATCTTCTGAACTTCTTTATACCTTCTAAAATCTCGGTCCCTTTTTCCCCTCATTGCTGCTAAAACCATGTAATCTTACACAATGTCCTCACTATACAGAAAGATCCGAAGCAGTTGAAGGTGAATCAGCTCAGAGGTGTAAAGCCAGGTTGGAGAGATATCGAAGAACATCTGAACGTGCGGTATGATTTTCATGTCTGACTAGAGTGGTGAATATTTCTTTTTTTAATATCTGGGTTAACTCTACATTTTTGGCCGTATTGCAGGCGAAAGCCCTGGCAGAGAAAAACATGCGTGATCTTCTTGCTCAAAGAGAACAAGCAGAGAGAAATGTAATTAACTTGAAAGAAATTTCACAAACTCATTTATTTGAAATAACACTTTTAATTTACTGTCTTGAGTCAACTTTTGTTTATAGAGATTAGCAGAAACTCTGGATGCTGATGTGAAGAGGTGGTCAAGCGGGAAAGAGGGCAACCTGCGTGCTTTGCTTTCGACACTGCAATATGTATGTTGGATTTTACTTGCAGCAAGTTCAGCATGAATGCTTTATATGTTCTTCTTGTAGAAAGCATGCAAAAAAAAGAGAAAAAGGAAAAGCTTTCATTACTTTATCCGCCGTTGAATAAAATATGAACATGTAGTTTGACTGAAAATTTCAAATGTGCGTGGCTTTGTCGAAACCTCTTGGTAGGGAATGGCTTCCACAGGTGCAATGTTAGCTGCGTTAATTGCATTGTTTAATTTTTAGATTCTCATCATATTTGAACAATGAACTGTTACTCTTAATTTGCTGCTTTGCCATTGACCTTCCTGATAAACTTATACTGTTGTGCAGGTCCACTAAGAAATATAAATCACTACATTTCTGCATCTTTTGTCCTATATGTTTCATAATTCTTAATATCATATTTATCTGAAGATACTCTTTGGTTGGCAGATACTTGGGCCAGATAGTGGTTGGCGACCAATTCCACTAACAGAAGTTATAACCGCAGCTGCGGTAAAGAAAGCTTACAGAAAAGCCACTCTTTGTGTTCATCCTGACAAATTACAGCAACGTGGTGCAAGTATTCAGCAGAAGTACATATGTGAGAAGGTGTTTGATCTTTTGAAGGTGCGTTGCTAATGGCATGCCCTGTTCCTTTCAACTTGAGTTATAAGTAATTTGCATATAAAGCATAATTCAGAAAGTATATCCTCTCTAAGACAAATTGGTCTTATTTGAAACTGTGGCACTGTTTCTCTATGCATCAATAGAGAAGGCAACATTGATATTGGCTGGGGAAAAGTCGCCATAGGAAAATCTCTCATTTGTGAAGCCACATCCACACGCATTTTTCTTTTGAAATCTTTGATGGGGAAGACAGCTGCTAAAGCTTTGAACCTAGGCATGACCATGGTTCGGTTTCAAATTGGAACTAAAGTGAAACTGAACTGGTCAAAACTAGCATCAAACCATGGTCAACGGTTTCGGTTTCATACCATAACTGAAACTATGCCTTAACGGTTTAGTTCCGGTTCTTTATTATATTGAACCGAACTGGCGGTTCCAGTTTGAAATCGTAAAAAAAAAAAAAAATGTTTGCAAAGAAGCTCCTAATTTGTTTTTTGTTTTCTTATAATTTTTTTAAAATAAATAAGAGTTCTTATTAATATAGCTTAGTATTTTTCAAAGTAATATTTATTATTATTATATTGTTATTATTTGTTCCAGCTACAAAACTAAAAAAGAAGAAAAAATTAAAAAGTTTGAAAAATGATAATCTAATTTTGGTTTCAAAACGAAACGAAATTGGGACCAGCGGTTCCAAAATAATTATAGAAATAACCTACAAGCAGTGCGGTTTTGGTTCTACCCTTGTTATAATTGGAATTGGAACTGTTAGTTTTAAAATTGTATAGTTGGAATTGGAACTGTTAGTTTTAAAATTGTGTAATCGGAATTGGAACTGTTGGTTTTAAAATTGAAAGCGGCAGTTCGGGAATCATCATGATGCCTATTTGAACCTTTGATATCTTATACTTATACTACAAGATAAGACATTCTGAGATTGAAGCTTTTTAAAAAAATTTGAAAAAATAATATAGATCATAAGTTTTGCTATGGCATAAAACATGAAATATTCTGATCCTTAGTATTACGGGTGGTTGATTTGCAGGAGGGTTGGAATAAATTCAACTCAGAGGAGCGTTAAGAGTTCCTGTGCTGATTTATATCAGTCTACAGTTAGATCAATTCTGTAATCCCAAGTAAATATCTCTATATGCATTTTAATTTCTTCCGTTGTTTCTATATGTAATTTTGTGCACAAGAAAATAGGAATTAAACAAATATTATTCAAGGAAAATTGGCTACTCTCGGTTCCAGATGTTATCGCCACTTCTTTACTTTTTCGCAAAGAATTGTTTCTTCCTTCTGTTTTTTTATTAAATGATTGAAATTGGCGTCATTTAAAAAAAATATTAAATGATTGAAATTGAATAATTTCGAAAAAGGTTAAATGATTGAAATTCAATGATTTGATGAATTACTTTGAGATGACGGCTGCTGAAATCCAATAGCACTTCTATGTTACTAAAATGTATAAACTCTTTTTACATCACTTTAATAATTTGTTTATTTTCATGGACCCAGTGCAAGCAGGATTATGTTAAAAAAAAAGAAAAAAAAAAGAAACTTAATGGGTTATTTTAGTTGAATATTTCATGAAGAAAAGCATTAAGTGCATAATAAAATTCAAAAATTGAGCAAGAAAGTGCGAATTTCCATAGGACCCAGCTCAACAACAAGAGTTGAACTATCAACAGGGCCACCTCTAAGTGGTGAAGGTTGAACTCCACTGTCATTCTCAACTTTCCATTCCATCCTTTTCATCTCTGACTTGTACTGGTTTGCTGATAAACTCATTTCCTTCAGCTCCTTTATCTGAAAGTTTAAAGTTTAAACATCGTTAAGATACAGCCATCATAGATCTTTTCGCCCAAGATACTTCTACTTCAGTTGAAGGGGGAAAAAGAGTTTTTTTTTTTTTTTTCATGAAGAAAAGCATTAAGTGCATAATAAAATTCAAAAATTGAGCAAGAAAGTGCGAATTTCCATAGGACCCAGCTCAACAACAAGAGTTGAACTATCAACAGGGCCACCTCTAAGTGGTGAAGGTTGAACTCCACTGTCATTCTCAACTTTCCATTCCATCCTTTTCATCTCTGACTTGTACTGGTTTGCTGATAAACTCATTTCCTTCAGCTCCTTTATCTGAAAGTTTAAAGTTTAAACATCGTTAAGATACAGCCATCATAGATCTTTTCGCCCAAGATACTTCTACTTCAGTTGAAGGGGGAAAAAGAGTTTTTTTTTTTTTTTTGAAAGAGCTCAAGGGGGAAAAATATAGATATGAGATAAAACCAGAATGTTACTGCTCCAAAACAAAAATGATTATAAGTAGCGAATTTCCAAGCTCTTCGGTTAATCAAACTCACCACCTTACAGCCTACTCTAATAACATTGTGCCAAAGCTCATTGATGCCAGTTTTATATTTAATTGAAGATATCTCAAGAACAAATAAATGAAGGATAACATAAAAAACGACTGAATGTAGTAAAATATTTATGATTATAGAAATCTCATAGTAGAAACTTATTATTAAATATGAGAAAAATGTATAAAAAATGATGTTAAAATGGCCAATGGTAACTAGTGACTGATGATGGTGGCAATCAGTGATTAATAAATTAAAATATATGTACTTATAAGATTATAATAAGTTTGTAAATGTTGAGAAAATGTTTTCTTTTCTTAAAAACGACTTTCTTTTTTTTAACAGAAAAATATTTTCAGTTGACTGATTTTCCTGAGCACCCAAACATTGAAAAATCTGGAAAATATTTTCAAGATATGTTATTTTTCTAGAAAAAGACGGAGTCTAAGCTAAAGCTCATTAGCACTGTTTTCCATTTAATTAAATACATCATGAGACAAGAAAGAAATGCATGTTGTCATCCTGTATGCTCCTTGTATCTAACACAGAATTCATCATATCATTTCCAAGAATCAATATTTTTCCTCTTTCAGGTTAACAACTATCATAATCTTTACCTTTTTCCCAGAAAACATCTTCTTGAGTTCAACTTTAGCCAGTGCTGAATACTTTGGATCTTCTCCTCCCTGACCACATCAGAATATTCTACTTAACTTGGTCTCTGAATATAATATTATTTAATAAACTCGAATACGAAAGGAAATATCAACATGATGCAATCTTCAAAGTTTAATATCTTACTCTTGGCAGAAAGTGTTTACCTAGGAATCCAAACTTTTAACAGCTAGTACTTATAAAAATAGATAGGTTCATTGCATGTTTATTTTCTACGATAGGTTCTTTAAAAAATACTATCCTTTTTTGAAGAATTTTGGTTAAAAAGAATCCAATTGTAGTCACTTTGACTTTAGGAGTGGTTCAAGGATGCAGCCAAGAAGCTATGGCATTGAACTAGATGGAAAAATAATGAACGGGGAGTCCGCTTTGAAAGCATCTGCCCTGCAACCTGTTCATTCTGTTTGAAGAAAGGAAGGATCCCGAAGAATCAATCTTTCTATGGAATAAAAAGTTTACCTCATATAAATGTGCCAAGCGAAGGAGTACGCTTCCGTCATCCAGTTCCTGCAAATATGGGATCAGACTGAGAGAGATATAGAGATTGAAATCTATATTGTTCATAACACAGGTAGGCACCATCACCTGAAGAGTAATCAAAGCAACATTCAAAGGCAAGCTGTAGTTTGGATCCATGACAGTTCCTTCAGTCAAATGAGACGCTTTCCAATTCTCCTCTTTCTGAACAGTAAATCATTTGCGTTAGAATATCTTGATATAAGCTTCGGAAGACCATACCTAAAAAGCTAGCCATTGAGGTTGGAGAGCCTAATCCATAATATCTTGTATTTAGTCCATGTGGTATTCTACCCCATACTGTATCTCTTAAGAATTTGACCAAATTGATATTTACAGTGTTCTTGATCAACACAAGTGAAATGAAGCATACCTCATGTGCAAAAGCTAATAGAAGCGGTGAGTAAAGTTCTTGGCCAGTTGTTCGCCGCCAGATTGATCCAGCTCCGAGCTGGTTGATGCTCATATAATAATTTCCTCGAATCTGAATAAAGATGTAGATTGTAGGAAAAAGCTCAGATGAAGCATGCATATTGTTAAGTTTTAAATGCGATAAAGAGGCAGGATAAGAATGTGAATAAGAAGTATTTATTGAGTTCTCAAGAGAAAAGTTAATTTTGTCATGGACATACCGTTATTCCCTCGCATCTATCTTCAACACAAACACTTTCATCAAGGGGTTCACCAACTCCTCTAGAGTCGTCATCGATTGTACGCCTTGTGTAGTAAAAGAAACAACAATCAGTTTAACATGTCCGTACTGAAAAGTGGATACAATTAATGAATGTTGAAAACAAAATCAAGCAACTATTTGAACCTGTGAAGCATTAGTTCTACTTGACCATCCTTGATGCTTGCCCCTCCAGTTGCACGATCAACCAAGAGCGACAATTCAGATTTCTTATCCGTTATAAAAAGTCCAAGGTTAAGCTGGAAAAGGCAACAAAAGCTAATGTTAATAAAATAATGTAGTCTAGCCCTAAAATGATCATAACGAGGGAATTTCTTCGTCAATACAAGGAAAACATGACAAAGCAATTTTACAAGTTGGTAATAATTGTTGTGCAGATAATTCTGAAACACTGGATTTCGACAATAATGTTCACCTTCTCCGGAGTACAAACCAGAATATGATATCTATAGACAAGCTAGCGTGTATGAGCATATGCAAAAATATAAGATTAGTTACTAAGCAATTCACATAGACAATTCATATAAATTATAAGGACGGTTAATGACCATATATAATCACAAAGATGAGGTCATGTAGTCAGTGGCATTTGAAACCACCAAATGCTATAGATAGAATCCCGAATTGAAACCCAATAGGATTTAATCACGATCCTTTTCAATGCAATAAAATTTCATAATCTTTTTTGTGGTTGAGCTGGTATATTGAACCAAACAAACAGAAAACATAGAACAAAGGCAATATCGCCAAAAGTAGCTCATTTGTGTCTTATTGATTTTCAGATAGCACAAGCAAAATCAGGCTATTAAAAACATCAAATCAATACAGCTGCACAGGTCAATTGTGAGACTATTTTGACACATCTCTCCTGCACGCACTAACCCCAAAACAGAATCATGTTAAATGCACTAATAATTCATGTATATTATAACTGTACCCCATTGACTGCCATCAAACAGAATCAATATTGGCAAGTTTCGGAGCATTCACATGATGTAGACACATTATATTGATTGATGTTAGCATTGAGAAAATTACTGGATAATAGTTTCCTGCTTGAGGTTGATTAACAGAGAGGTTCCAGTCAGCTCTATAGTCTCGAATCTGCAGGAAGAGAGAAAAAAAAACGGAAAAAACATCATTTTTTTTGAGTTAGCACTTGGCACCACTCACTGAGCACAAGGACATTTAGCTGTGGTGTAACAAACTTCACAAGGGAATTGGCTGCAGAGAGCTTCCAAGAAAATATGTTAAAACAAGAAAAAATGGGGCAATTGACAGTATAATTCTGATTTCCAACTCTACAGGCATAACTAGAGGCCATGTACAACTTCTCAGCTTCTTCAAGACACATGATCAACCAACAACAAGAACAGAGTCTGTAGTTAAGGCTTATTGCATCATGTGCTTGGAGCTTTGCATATCACTGTTAGCCAAACCGTTTTAACCAAACAGCAAACATATTAGACAAAAATAAAATCTAATCTTAAATCTTCATTTCCAACAGATACTTTGAGTCTACCACTAAAATAATGCACAGAAAAATATTTTGAAAACACAAAAGATAATCCTTGGATTGAGTTCATTGTCTGCCACGTGGAATATTATGAGAGTAAAGATAAAAATGTCTCTCTGCTAGCATCTATGTGTATCTAATCTGAGAACATAAGAAACACAGTACTATTGCATGTTTTTCCAAAAGGATGCTGCAAAAGTTTTTGGTGTTAAAAGAAAGAAACCATTCTGAGAGTTACCCGCTTTAGAAAGTCCCTTCCATTAGAATCAGTGTAGAACACCTTGTCTGTGACCATATTTGTTGTCATTCGTGTGATGACCTCTTTTCCAATACCATCTTCTATGGGAATTGGCCCGATCTTCAGAAATAAATATTGTTAGACATAACTCATTCAAGTTTAATGAATCAAACATATTTAGCATGCACTTGTATGAATGGGAAGAAAAGACAACTATGGTGCTTTTAGTCATTGGCAGCATAAATCTGTTTGAAAAGGTGTCTCTTCGTGGAAAAGAGTTACACAAACAATAATAAAATACTAATAATTTCACTCACAGTGAATTCAATTTCAGCATGCTCTTTGTTTTTGTAAAGTCTTGTGACCTAACAAACACACATAAACAATATTTAGTGAACAAGGACCTTGGGAAATGGTTGTAATTGTGTACAATTAGCTGTTGAAACATATTGTAAAATTACCAGTCAAACTTTAAAAGACTAATGATGCATAGAGAGAAATATACTAACATTGACCCATTTATCACTAGATAAAGCTATATATAAATTGATGACCTGGTAAATCCACGAATTAAATTGTTGGTGGACCTCATCCACTACAGGTCCACGATAGACCTTCAAGGGCACCTGCAGATAGTTACAAAATAATTTTAATTAACAAATTAGATATGTTGAAATCTTTATGATTAAAGTAAATATTGTGTTTCCTAATTTAGATTTATTCCTAATTAGTGTAAAGATTGTGTTTTCTAGTTTAGGTTTATTCCTATTTAGATCCACTTTACAGTCACGATTAGACCTTCAAGAGGGGCACCTTGCAAGATAGTTACAAAATAATTTTAATTAACAAATTAGATTATGTTGAAATCTTTTATGATTAAAGGTTGAAAATATTGTGTTTTCCTATTTAGATTATTTATTCCTAATTTAGTGGGTAAAGGAATTGTGTTCTTCTAGTTTCAGGTTTATTCCTATTTAGATTACTTCCTATTATTGCGAAACAATTTTTGTATATATATTAGTGAAGTAGAGGTTGAAAATATAACCCACAATTGAAAGAACATTTAAAAACATATTCTTTCTTTAATTTACTAGAATGGTGGTTAATCAGAGTCGTTGCCGGTTAATCTTCGGAAGAGGCAAGCGGGGTTTCAGTTTTGCAAAGTGGTCTGAGATACACATAAAGCACCGCCCGGGAAGTGGGAGTTGGTCGTCACCGCCCGTCCTCAGAAGGAAGATACGACCGCTGATCGAGCACTCCGTCCAAACCACCGGGTCCACCTTCTGGACCACGGCGCGTGTGCACAAACGCGCCTCCAAAATTCTGACGTTCTTATGCGCGCCAGCGCGTGCGCGCTGTTTCCAGGCGAGCTCCGTCGACGAATTTCTTGTTCCGGCGACCTCGACTCGGGGTGTGGTTGACTCAGACACCTACTGGTTCTTCAACACCTAGTTTTGCCCTATTTTTGGATATTTTTTCCCTTTCCACCACTGCTGCTGCCTTTTACCGCTACTGCCTTATTTTTTTTTTTTTTTTTACCCTTGCTGTCGTTTAAATTTTTTTTTTTTTTTAAGATATGGTGTGACGAAAAGGAAATGTACGATATGGTTTTTCCACCTCAGGGCACCTCACTTCAAGCATTAGTCCGGTTGAAAGTTGAGAGTGAGAGAGCGCAAACGATACTTGGCTTGGTTCGGGCTTGGTTTATATTCATTGAAGCTAGAGTTTGCGAGGGATACTTTTGGATGGTGGAGCAACTAAACCAGTTTCGGGAGCAACTAAACCAGTTTCGACAGATCCGACCTTTAACAAGTGGAAATCCGAGAATTCTCTTATTATGTCTTGGTTAATAAATTCCATGCAGCCAACTATTTCCCGAGGATACTTGCTTCTTGATACAGCTAAGAAGATATGGGATGCTGCTTCACAGACGTATTCACAAACTGGAAACTATGCTCAGAGGTATAAATTGCGATAGAAAGTTCATGAAACCAAGCAGGGAGATTTGAATATCGCTCAGTATTTTGCTGAACTTAGTGGGTTATGGCAGGAACTGGATTATTATCAAGACGTATTCACAAACTGGAAACTATGCTCAGAGGTATGAATTGCGATAGAAAGTTCATGAAACCAAGCAGGGAGATCTGACTATCGCTCAGTATTTTTGACTATTGCTCAGTATTTTGCTGAACTTAGCGGATTATGGCAAGAACTGGATTATTATCAAGACTTTCAAGCAAGATGTACTGATGATGCGACTCAAGTTAAAAGTTGATTGAAGTAGAACGTGTGTATGATTTTCTGGCTGGCCTAAATAACGAGTATGATCAGATTCGAGTCCAAGTTCTTGGACGAGATCCCTTTCCATCCTTACAACAAGCATACTCATTTGTACAGCAAGAGAAGACTAGAAGAGGAGATTAGGAGGAGTGCTATGGTTCACAGATCTACAATTGATAAAGCAGGGTTAATTGCTAATTCTGCAAGAGAACAGATACAGGCTGCAAAGAGCGGTTCTTCAAACAGAGATCAATTATTTTGTGACTATTGCGGTAAGAATAGGCACACTAAGGAGTTATACTGGAAATTACATGGATGCCCAACTAAAGGGCATGGAGGGAAGCAGGTCAGTTCTTTTAGACCACAAACTCATATATCTGATAGTGGAGTTTGATATGAGGAACCATCTACTGCTGGTAGCTTTTCTGATAAGGAAATTCAGTCCCTGAAACTATTATTGTCACAGCTTGATTCTTCCTCAACTCAAACTGTAGCCTCTAATTTTGTTAATTAAGGTAATGCTTTCCTTATCTTTCTTGCAAAAATTGCAAAACCCTCTTGGGTTATAGATTCAGGAGTAAATAAACATACAATAGGCTCTATAAAACATTTTCTCACATATTCTAAGTATCAAGGCACAGACAAAATTTGCATTGCGTCAAATTGCGGATGGCTCCTTAAGTACCAATTGCTGGCACAGGTTCAATTGACTGTACTTCCAATATTAAACTCTCACATGTTCTTCATGTTTCTAGATTTCCTATTAATTTGTTATCTGTTAGCTTAATCACAAAAGCACTTAATTGCAAAGTAACTTTTTACCCTACTCATTGTATATTTCAGGAACTGAATACGAGGAGAACGATTAGCAGTGGTAGCTTTTGTGATGGACTGTATCTGTTGGATGACGCGGGTACCAGTCAAGCTTTGTTAGGAACTTCTAGAAATCCTTCCCATGAAGTTATTCAATGGCATAGGAGATTAGGACATCCCTCTTTTTCTGTTTTTAGGACGTTTATTTCCCACTTTATTTGCTAAGTGTGATTTTGATTCATTAGTATGTGGATGCGTGTGAAACTTGCTTAAATTCACACTAGGCATTAACTGGAATTTGATTCCTTTTGCTACTATTCATTCGAGGTTTGGGGTCCGTATAAAAACGGTGTCTCTCTTTTCTTTGGTTATAGATAGTTTGTGACCTTTATTGATTGTTGCAACTAGATTGACTTGGGTTAGGTTGGAATGAAAACAAAAAAATGAAAGTTTTTTCGTGTTTTCAGAACTTCCAATAAAATGATTTTGTACTCAATTTGATGCGGCATGTTTAAAACATAATTTGATGCGCATGTTAAAATCCTAAGAACTGATAATGGTATTGAATACATGAATGTAGTTTTTCGTACCTATTTAGATTCTAATGGTATTATACATCAGACTAGTTGTGTTAATACTAGTGCTCAAAATGGAGTAGCTGAAAGGAGAAACAGACATTTACTGGAAGTAGCTAGGTCCCTTATGTTCACTATGAATCTTCCCAAATCATATTGGGGGATGCTATTTTGACCGCTCCTCACCTTATCAATCGTATGCCTCTTCATACTTTAAATTTTAAAACTCCATTAGAGGTTCTTCAAGTAAAAAACTCTTATATTATACCTCCTAAAGTCTTTAATTGTGTTTGCTTTATTCATCAGAATAGTCTAAGCAAATTAGATCCTAAAGCCTTGACGTGTGTGGTTGTTGGTTACTCTACTACTCAAAAAGGATACAAGTGTTATCATCCTTCTTCTAGGAAATACTTTGTGAGTATGGATGTTACCTTTCAGGAGTTTGTGAATTCTTAATTATTATCCTTCCCAGTCACCTCTTCAGGGGGAGAATAGTCAGATTGAAAAAAGGTGATGGGATGACATTTCTTTCAAAAGGTGATGGATGACATTTCTTTCCAGGGGGAGATTCCTGTAGACATAGATAGCAACATAGAGCAACCACCCAAATCTCTAGGAAGATTGGATAGACCTGATTTGAAAACCTACACATGGTGGACTAATACAGATACAACCATGGAGCATAAGACCTCTGATCAACCGTCCTCTCCAATTTCAGTCCCTGAAAGAACAAGAACTTGGTGAGCCTTCTTTAATTCCTGTTGATTTTGATCTTAATCTTGATTCCAGTCCTTCTGACAATGACCTTGATATTCCTATTGCTCTTAGAAAAGGAGTTAGAACATGCGCTAAACATCCCATCTCCCATTTTATCTCCTATAATGCTCTGTCCCCTTCCTATAGAGCCTTTGTGTTTTCTATACTGCAAAGAGGCATTTACAAGGACTACAAAATGGAAGGCTACAATGGTTGCGGAGACTGAGAGCTCTGGCAAAAAAGAGACATGGGGATCTTTGTAACTCCTCCACCAGAAGAAGCCAGTTGGATGATAAATGTGGTGTTCACAATTAAAACATAGGAAGCCAGTTGGATGTAAATGGGTGTTCACAATTAAACATAGGGCAGATGGTTCAATTGAGAGGTACAAGGCTAGATTGGTAGCCAGAGGATTCGGTCAAACCCATGGAGTTGATTATCAGGAAACATTTGCCCGTGTAGCCAAGATGAACACAATCAGAATTTTGATGTCTTGTGCAGTCAATCTTGACTGGGAGTTACATCAATTTGATGTTAAAAATGTTTTTCTGCATGGTGATTTAAAAGAAGAGGTGTACATGGAGATTCCTCCTGGATTTGATGATGAAAAAACCAGAGGAAAAGTTTGCAAGCTGAAGAAGTCATTATACGGGCTGAAACAATCACCACGAGCATGGTTCGAAAGGTTTAGTAAAGCTATGCTTTCTTTTGGGTATATTCAGAGCGATGCTGATCATACTTTGTTCATTAAACATCATGAAGGTAAGGTAAGCGATCACATTGCTTTATTGTTTATGTGATGATTATAGTGATGGACTGGAAAAATTAATCTAGAATGCATATGAAGACTAGACATATCTCACATTTACGAAGAATAGTATGTTAAAGCTATGGAAATATTGAGATTAACTATAGATTTGGGAAAGTTTGAGATAACTCCTTCCTCTGAATGAGTAAAGAAGATTAGCCTATAGTGGTAGAAACAGAAGTTGCTAGATCAGAAAAAGGGATTTTTATTTCTCAAAGAAAGTACACCCTTGATCTCCTTAAAGAAACTGGTATGTTGGGATGTAAACCTGCAGAACCACTGATTGAAGTCAATCATAAGCTTCAAGCTGGAGTGGGAAGTCCAGTTAATGTTGGTAGGTATTAGAGATTGGTCAGGAGGTTGATTTATCTTGCCCATACTAGACCAGATATTACCTATGCTATAAGTTTAGTGAGTCAGTACATGCATGACCCTCAGGAGTCTCACTTAAAAGTTGTGCGTTGGATTCTAAGATATTTAAAATTAGCTCCAAGTAGAGGACTCTTATTTTCTAAACATGGCCAGTTGATATAACAGGCTATACAAATGTGGATTGGGCTGGTTCCCTTGATGACAGGAGATCAACCTCAGGTTATTGTGTTTTTGTTAGAGGAAACCTGATCATATGGAGAAGCAAGAAGCAGGCTGTTGTTGCAAGGTTCAGTGCAGAAGCTGAATCCAGTGCAGAAGCTGAATATAGAGCTATGGCACATGGAATCTGTGAATTTCTATGGTTGCATAGATTAATGGAAGAGTTAAAGTTGGTTAAAACAACAAATATATCCTTATTTTGTGATAGTAAAGCAACCATCATTATTATGAACAATCCAGTCCAACATGATCGAACTAAGTACATAGAGATTGATCGTCACTTTATAAAAGAGAAGATAGTTGAAGGTTTTATAAGTGTCTCCTGTATAGCTTTAAAAAAGCAACTAGCTGATGTTTTTACAAAGGGTTTGCATAGCAAGTTGTTTCATCCTTTAATTTGCAAGTTGGGCATGAGTAATATCTATGCACCAACTTGAAGGGGAGTGTTGAAATCTTTGAAATCTTTGTGTTAAACGTATAATATTTGTGTTTTCCTAGTTTAGGTTTTAATTCCTAATTAGTGTAAAGATTCGTGTTTCTTAAGTTTATGGTTTATTCTATTTGGGAGTGTTGAAATCTTTGTGATTAAAGTAAATATTGTGTTTCCTAGTTTAGGTTTATTCCTAATTAGTGTAAAGATTGTGTTTCTTAATTTAGGTTTATTCCTATTTAGATTACTTCCTATATTAGAACAATTATATATATATATATATAGTGGAGTAGAGGTTGAAAAATATAACACAATTGAAAGAAATAAAACATATTTTTTCCTTTAATTTCTACAAATATATTTAGCTCTAAATGTGTTACGTGAAATAGTTGGCTTTATAGCATCCACTACAAAACCTTAAGCGAATATGTGGAGAGTCTCGTATCAAACCCCAAACCTGATATCCAATGGCACCTAATGCCAGACTCCTCTTTAAGTTGCAGACCCAGAAAGGAAAAAGAAAAAATAGCTAAAAGGAAAAGGAATCTAAACGTAGCATGTGGAAAAGGAACCTAAATAGTTAAAAAAAAAACTATTAAATGTTTCATGATAGATACAAATCTATTTAGATGTTTTAAAACTAAATGAATGATTTTATCAAAGGGAGTTTAAGATGAACTAATTGAGATTTAATTAACGGTCTCCTCCTTAGATTTCTTTTCTTCTTTCTCTCCTTATCTCTTCTTTTTTGTCTTATTTCCCCTTATTCTCTCTCTTTATATCCTTTTCCATTCCTCTTCTCTTACTTTGTATCTTACAATCTCCACTCCTTTATTTCTAGTACTGCTTAAGAACAAGTTGGCAGATTTTGATCACATGAAAACTGAAAATAGGGGAAAAAAAGAACTCACTTTTCTTGCAACGATATTGGGAGGAAACCCATTAGGCCGAAAAATGTATGCACCAGAGGATTGCTGAAATAGAACACAACCGTATCAGCTACACTTCCATGAACTTAAAGCCAAATATAAAATCCTAAAACACAGAAATTACATACCTGGACATCGGAGCTTGAACCATACCAAAGATAGCTCTGTTGAATTGGTATATCAACCTAGTAAAAAATGAACAATAAATTACATATGATCTCTCATTTCATTATCAAAACATCTCCATATAACACAAACCAGTAACATGGACTCTACTTCCTTCTTTTGTAATGTTAAAGAACTTCAGATGCCAGAGTCAATGGATCAACATGCAAAATTGTTAAAGCACATTGCAATATGAATGAATCTAAGTCCCTATGAGGATTGCCTCCAGCATTTTCAGTTATAAAATAAGAATATAGAGCTTGTAAAATAAGGTTTAGTCACAAATATTCCAGGAAGTTTATTTTACTGTGCTCTTTGGTCCTTACTTTTCTCAAATTAGCAAATTTTGTCCATGAGTTTCCTTGCTGTAAAAACTGACTCAATACTTGGTCCTTGATTATGAAATTAAGATTTTTTTTGTCAAACGTTAGCCCCTGAAATTTTAAATTATATTGCACTTCTGTCTTTAAAATTTTAAAATTAATTACATTTTACTTCCTAAATATATAATTAAATTTTAGAATACTTCAGTTCCTCTAAATCTTGACATTTTTATAATAGCTGTAATATAGGGACTAAAATTGCTAATTTCCAAACCTAAGGCATCAAATTGTATATTGAATTAAGGCAAGTTTCAGGGAGTTTTGTAATTAACCTTAAAATTATCCAAGAACATTATAAACCTACCGTAAAAAGCAGGAATGCGAAGCAGCTTACCCCAGATTTAGAGTTGAACATTCGTTTGAGTTGGCCAGTGGTAGAAGAAAATGACATTTTCAAATTTCCAGGTCCAATTTCAATGGTCTCTTTCAGTAAACTTCCCGTTTCATGGAGTCCATTTCTTCTTCTCCCTGCATCATTTCAGTGTCAGAAAAAGGAAATAGAAAGAAATAAGAAAAAAAAGTTTCAACTTTTAATTGTCTTCTTTTTTGGAAGATAAACTTTAGAGGAATTCAGCAATGGTCTCTATCAGCACATAAACCCAATGGGCGCAGCTAAAAATATGAAACGGGTCAACTGAGAATATAAGATCAGAAATTTTACCTGTCTTAGGTGCATGAGTGATGAAGTAAGTACTCCACCCAAGTGGGGTCACAGACACTTGAAAGACAAGCCAGTATTTAGGAACATGATCGGATGACAGTCCTATGTAGGCCTTCAAATAGAAGTTTCTTAAGTTGCCTGTAATATTATCCATGATCACATATTGTGAATCAATGGTTTTGCCCGAGGAATCAGAGACGACAAGATTGGCATCATTAACCTGTTAGTCATTGTGGCTTCAGAATTAAATTTGAAGTCATAAAAACTTTTATTTATAGGAAAAAAATGTAGGACACATAAAAAACAAAAAGCACAGGATAACATCAAAAATTGCAATTCAGGGAAGCATAAAAACTCCAGATTGAAGTAATGACCAAAACAAAGAGTGGAACATTTAAATCACTCGACTAGAAACATACTCGTGAAAGATGCAAGCCTAGTTAATGGGCCTGGCATCTTTACCATGTGAAATAACTTCCTAACAAGTTCAAATCACAATGAAAATTCATTAAAAGAAAAAGGAAAAGGCTAGAACAATTATTTTCAAAAACTATTAGCTGTCGCGTTAGAAAGCTTCAAATCTCATTATCTCAAAATCATTGCATGCTATCTTTTGAGATATAGTTTATGTAATGAGTTTTGAAAAACGAATGAAGACCAACAAATTCTTAGAGGAAAATAAGTGATGGTCATCACCAAGTTTTAGAATGGTTAGCATTTAGCAATATAGTTTTAAGATAACTATATACGGGGATAAAAGAAGGTTGAAACAATAGATGCATTAAAAGAAACAAAAGCTTCATTTTACAATTCTGGAAATGCTTAATGTAGGAGGCCAGCCCCTTATCCATTTGTAGCCTCTGCATTGCACTTAAAAAAACACTGTTAGAGACCACTGTAAAGGACAAAACTTGAAGGCCTACTTAAAATATCAGCATGCTTATAGAACTTCATTGGATGGAGCCAAACAATCAAGGCCAAAATTTTTCATTTTGATCAAAATGGAAGCTACACCTGTAACTACTAATTCTGGTACTTCTTTATTGTCACCCTACCATTTTAACTACAGCTACAGTTATTGCATGATATTTATCAGAAAGTTTGGTGATCTTATGCATTCTGTCATCATGTATGTGATTGTAAATAATATGAGCAATTGAAAATCATTTGCTTGTGACAGTATAAACAACAGAACGAACATTTACTTACCGGTATTCTGATAACGTCTGTGCGATTCCATCCAAGAGGGTTGTACGCTACTATAATCTGAAAGTAACCAGTTGAAAAAGATAAGTAAAGAACCTAGTGATGTACTCATCGAATCAGAGTTAAGAAATATATGAAAGTAGTACCAAACTCTTTCCATCTCCAGCTTCCTCTGTTGGTGGACAGTAACTGATATTTAGCAGTTGGCACTGCACAACAATGTAGGGAGAAGGGAAAAAGAAAATTGATTAGGCTAGGAACAGTAAGTTGATTATCTAATTGCATGTGTAGCAACAACGAGATGCAGAGGAAAAGAAAAATCCACATATAATTACATTGCTCTATGGAACCATTCAACTATTTTGCAGTATACTGACTTTGGCAATTTATGTTACTTCATCGCAAGTCACATTTAGCACATATGATAATTCATATAAAATATACAATCAATAACAAAGAGATTATGGAATATATAAAAATATTACAAACTTAAAAGTGGAGCTTTGCATTTTGTAAGAAAATTAATAAGAAAAAAAGGTAAAGCTACCTGGCTGAAAGTCGATGCAGGTGCAGTACATTGATTTTTGGATTTGCTCACTAAGCACGACAGAGCAGAACTTGAAGTATCTTCTGCCTATAGAATGAGTTAAATTTTGAGCTATATAATGGAAGCATTTAGCATTATAAAAAACTTGCTGTGCATAGAGAAAACAACGAGTACATGAAATTTCAGAGGAAAGTCAACTGCCCACCTCAGATGCTCCAATAGCTAGACGTTTTGTCCAGTCATCTGTAGTGTGTTGTTTGGCAGTTCCAGTGACAGCATCATGGTGCTGTGCTATACCTAGAGCATCTCCAAGCCTATAACTGCTGGGACCATTGGATTTTTTCCCAACCAAAAACTCCAGTTGTCGTATTGCCTGTTTTAGACAAGAAGGTAATTTTTCAGTGACATAACTGTACTCTAAAGTCAAAAAAACATGAGAAAACTCAGACACAATTTTCATGATAGGAAGAGGCCATCCTCTTCTACAGGGACACCTATGCGTATAGTTTATACAGCGTGAAAAGGCCACAACATAAGAAATAAACTTATAAAAACAGAAGCATATTTCAGGGTGGCTTGCATCTAGAAGCTATGACCTTTCCTATATGTTTCCAAGGCAAAATAACCATCAAGGCATGATCTTGGCATCATACCAAATAATATCCACTGAGCTGCCGAACATAGCGCTTAAAAGCTGGGCGACTAGTAAAGAATCCAGTCCAATAGGCATTTTCTCTATCTGCATACCTACCAGTTAACAAGGAGCAAGTATATATACATGATAGACAGTCAATAGCTTTGTTGCATCAGAAGGATGAAAAGAAAAGGTGAGAAAAGAAACAATCAATGCTCACGGAAAATAATCATCAGTTTTCAATGGCCATGATTCATCTGCTGCATTTTTCACATCAGTATAGATAGACGGTGTAGAATATAAGGCATTTACTCGACCATCCTGCAGGTTAAAGATACAAAAAATGGTATATTCAAAACCAAGTATATTAAATGAGTGAAAAGGGGAAAGACAACTGAAAAGACAAGTTTTTCACATGAAGTTTGAACAGATAACATTTTAATTCTTGTTATCAATGTTACAATACCTCAAGGAATAATGACAGATATGAATTCTTAGGTAATGAGCCATAAACATCAAGAAAAAAAATTGAAGAACACAAAAACCAAATAAAGCATGAAAAGCTGTACCTTGCGTTTAATAACTAACTAAAAAGTGAGAGAAAGATACTAGACAAGACCAAAATTTCTCGTAGAAAACACGTCACACCTAGTGGGAAAATTGGCAAAATTACATGTAACACTTATTGACACCTCTCCAAGCTCATAAGCTAACAATTAGAACACAAATTAGTCAATGCAGAATAAATTATGGTGCATGTATTTAATTTGGTTGCCACAGCTAATTCTGGGTAAAGAATAAGAATAAAAGATTTCAAATCAAATCCAAAACAAGAAATATGAAAAGCATCTCCCCATCTTTCCAGCACATACTGCCAGTAATATAATCAGTGGCCTTGTATTTCCTTCCCATTTAAAGAATGCTACAACTCTTTACCTTTTCAAGAGCCATTTGCTGGCATAGAGTGCTAAAAGGAGATTTTGCAAATCTTAAACAATCACGCAATACATATTTGATGATAGGGAAAAATGTGTAGATAATGAGGGTGGAGTTGGAGAGACATTGTATCAGAGAAGGAGCATGCAAGTTAAATGATAAGATTCAAAAGATAAAATTTCTCTCTTCACATAAAGCTCTACCTTGTTAACATAGTGAATCAATTTGTCCATTTGTTTGAACCAAGACTCAGCATATTGGTACTGGAAATCATCACCCATGGTCCACATAATGTGGTTTGTCCTTGTCACATTTGCCTGTAGAAAAGGATGAAGAAATATCATAAATCTTGGCACCTGAAGTGATGCGAATTGTTCAATATTTCTCCTGATAGAAGTAAATTTAAAATTAAAAGCATAAAGGCTTTTGAGAGAAAGAGAAGAAGGGAGCTTAAATTTTACTTGGGCAATAGCAGCTTTTATAAAGTCACTGACCCGCTGCTCAACATTATAGTCAAACAGAAGAGGATTATCCTGCAATGTGAAATGAAATATGACAGGTCAGGAAGGCTCAAAAGGAGATCATATAGAAATTGGGAAAAATAATAATCATAGACAATGGAACCTGAACAGGCTCAAAGTTATCGAACACTTCAAAATGGAAACCTGGAGGAGGACTATAATGTACAGGAAAAGCATTGGCAAAAATCTGAAAAGGGCATAAAAAGTGAACAGTAAACAAAACACATCATTTCTAACATAGAGCAATTGATAGAAGTGGAGCAATAGTTGTTAGGTACCTGAGAGGAAGAACCAAAAGTTTTGGAACCACGCCATATAACTTCTAGAGATTTATCTACATAGCGCTTAGCTCTGTCCTGGTAATCAATCCTTGCAAAATGTACAGAATCAAATCCAAGCTGCAATGGAACCAATCAGAATGTCTCACATGTTAGGACGAAAAACATAGCCGAAACAACATGTTTCAAAGAAAACAAAACATGTTGATGAGGCATGTTATAAGAACAATTATATTTATGAGAAATGTATCAACCACTGTATTGGGTGATTGACCATATATAAAATCATCTACCTCAGCCCCAAGCAGGTAACCTTGAACAGCAGAGTGTCCAAATGGATCAATTTGCCATCCAGCACGAGGAGTCTTGTTAAACTGTGCCTTTATTGCACGATGACCCAGTGTTGTTTGATCAATCATGTCTATGTAATGGCATGTTGCTTCATCATGCATACACCAGCCACCATTTCTGCAAATGAAAAAGTTAAATACTTGTCATACATGCCAAAGAACTATACAATTTAAACATCTTTTTATCTCTCTCTTTCTTTCTCTCTTTCCAAACAATGAATCCTACTGCTTAAATTTGCATACATGAATTCCAATTGGCCAGCATCTACTAGTTTCCTCACTTGCCCTTGTGTTTCTTCACTTTGTTCTAGCCACCATCGTTGGAAAAAAGCCTATGATTCATTTTCACTGCATTAGATAATTGTCATAATAATGACAACAGACAAGAATTAACACTATATGCTCTCAGACACCCAGCTGTTAAACAGCAGAGAAAAACCAAGTAGTCCAACAATGTATAGCAGCAAAACAATGATACCATTTGACAATCTTGAGAACAATGGTCCCATAACTATGTGATCCAACGAGAAAGAATATGCAACCCATACGCAGTAGGAGAAAAGTCTTCCACGGTGCTTTTTTTGTTGGTTCATTGGTATTGCAAGGCCTGATTGGAAAACCCATGACCCCCCATCTAAGATTTTCTAAGGTATTCCAACCAGGCTATGCCTATTTGATAAATTTTACATGGTACTTACCCGTAGACAACATATCATTAGTTAGGGGACTGAATTCTCATGCATACACATCCAGCAATATGTTTACCCTAAATTTTGAGAGGAAATCTAAGCATTCTACTAAAGATTGAATTTCACAACATATTAAGAACTAAGAAAATGATTCTTTTAAAACTGGAACACTCTCTTTTTCCAATTTTTACACAGATGATTTTTTTTTTTTTTTTTTTTTTTTTATATGTTTTACCCTAAAATTTTGAGAGGAAATCTAAGCATTCTACTAAAGATTGGTTACAACATATTAAGAACTAAGAAAATGGAATTCTTTTAAAAACGTGGAACACTCTCTTTTTCCAATTTTTTACACAGATGATTTTCTTTTTTTTTTTTTTTTTTTTTATTAAGAATATATGTAATGCCATATCCAAAAACAAATAAAATTTTTTTTTTTTTTTTTTTTTTTTTATTAAGAATCAATATGTATGCCATATTCCAAAAAACAATAAATTTCTTACAAAGATTGTAATCAAATTGCTATCAGGTGTCAACTTCCATAAGGCCCTAGCTTCGCATATCAGGAATGACCAAATTTCACATAGAGAAGCATTAGTAATGCATAAGTTGCTTGATTATTTAATAGAGCATATAAAATGCAGTTGGAACTTATACATAACAGTCTAGACATTTAAAGGTACAATATATATACACTGAAAAATCAACAATCAAAAAATATCTGCACTGTTTACCATTTCAGCAAAAACGAACTTTCTATTTGGATCTCTAAGAAGTGATGCCACAACTGAGTCCAGCACATTTTCAACACAAGCACCCTACAGCAAAAAACAAGCAAAGAACAAAAGATTACCTTATAACATGATTATTGACCAAAAAACAAAAGATGAACCATGATACTAAGTAAGAAATATAACCTGAATACTGTTGTTTGATCCAACATAGTATTGGTCAATAGTCTTTAACCAACCAACATCATCATGTGAATGTGCTACCAAATGAACATTGAGTTTTCCTTGAACAACTCCATTCCCAGTACTGTACTTCACATAACCACCACTCACTGTTCCATACAAACCAAACCCAGAGGCAACAAAAACATAGGCAAAAACCCATGCTAAAAAACTTTGAATCCTACCCATTTCAATGATTGCCTGTAGCTTACGAGCAACAAAGAAGAGCTAAGTTTTTTCAGTTCTTGACTAACCAATTTATAGAGACAATTAAAGGGTTTGAAATTGACATATAGTAAATGACCAGAAATGGACTTTGGTTTCTTCTCTGGCATCTCCATGCCGGCCAAAGAGTAAAGGATTTTGTTTTTATTGGTGAAAAGTGGAGGAGTTCTCAATTTTTTGTTTTTACAGAGACAATCCACATGTTAGACGCATTTGGCAATGAAGTTTCTATCTTTATGTGAAAACTAAAAAAAACAGTCAGTGACTGGGCGCGGCGGGACCCTTTATAAGAGAAATTACAGTTTTAGGGATTTGGATTTGGATTTTAGTTTTCCATTTGGCATCATAAAATCCATAAAACTATTCAACAATATCTGATTTCATGACCAAAATTCCTCATTTTCGCAGATTTTGTAAGTCCACCTGAAAGTTGAAATCTTATACTCAAATTAGGTGAAGAACCGCGGGTCGTTTTCTTGTATATAAGAAGAAAAATAAATTCAATGAAAAACGTAATCTATAATCTATATCTATAATAACTATATCTATCTATACTGTATATAATAGTTTTACAAACCGCGCAACGAGCAAACCAATATTAAATGATGAAATAATCTTTTATAATATCATTCAAAAATTGTGTAATAAAAAGATAATGCATTACAAAATTGTATCTCGTTAAGATATGATAAAAAAAATTGTAATGTTAAGATGTGTTTTCTTAAGTATCATGCGAAGCCATTTACTAAGATATGTAATGATAAAAATCATGCATGATATGACCTAGCGGTGTCAAAAAGGATGGACGTGTTAAGTTCGACACGGATTCGCCTAATAAGCGATATGATTAGAGTTAACATGAACACGACCAATTTAATAATTGTGTTAAATTTATCGATACGAAAATTAGGCAGGTGACATGAACACGATACGTATAACTCATCTAAGACCATAAATAGGTTAAACCGTATACAACTGTGTCTTAATATAATAAACAGTTTAAGTGAATTGTGTTGACATATATAGACCAACTTAACCTAATTATAATATTTTTAAATTTTATCCTATTTAACTCCAATCGTATTTAAAAATAAATTTTCATACATAAAATGTATAAATTCTTCAAGATTCACAACTAAAATAAAAAAGTAATACAACAATAAAATTTAAATAGATTCTAGTTGGAGTATTTATTCTAACACTAAAATTATCTTTTTACTCTTAAATAAATGAGCCACTTGCCTAACTCGCGTGTCAACCTGTGACACTAAACACATGTCATACATGGGTAACCCGTTTATAACACAAACATGTTTAATCTCAATTCTAATCCATTTATTTCGCGTGTTAGGTGCATCTATCCACGTGTCATGACCCATTTTGACACCTTAGTATGACATGCATAAAAAATGCACACACGTTATTAATATATTTTTCAATAGTGATAATAATTTTAAGAATTTAACTAATTATGTTGAAATAATAAATTAAGTATTTTTAATTTTTTATGATTTATTATAAATGATCATTTATTATTTGAAATATTAATGTATTATATTTATTTAGTATAGTGTGTCTTAAATGTGTAAATATCTTACTTTTTAAAAAAATTATCATATCATGTACTTTTCTACATCTCATGTCCGTGCAACTTATCTCCTGGTATATGAGACTACTCCATACACCAAGTTAATCAACCAAGGTTTTTTTTATTACCGAGAAAAAGTGAAGTTTTTTTTTTTTCAAAATTGTTTTTGTGTCTTTTTTTTATTAATAAATTATTAGAAAAAATAAGAAGGAACTAAATTTTTTTTGGAAAAAAATTATATTACTTTTTTTTTGGATATAAAAGAAAAATAAAACTAATAGAGGAAAGAAAAACTTATATTACTTATTTTTTATATAAAAGAAAAATAAAATTAATTTTTCTCTACAAATTGATTTTTATAATTTTTTATTTTTCTTCTAATTTGAAGAGAAAATTATCAAAATTTTTTCCCTTGTCTTTCTTTCTTATTTTCAAATAAAATAATTTTTGTTTATTAATATTAGTTTTCTTTTCTTTCATTATTTGCAAATATAAGACAATTTATCTTCTGACAATTGTTGCCATTATAATTTATCTTTTTACAATTATGCTAAATAGCGCTTCTTCTTATACTTGGCATTTTGAGAGACTTACATTTGGCTGTCATTTAAGATAGGCTTCTCTACTTTTATTTATTATATATGGGAATAGGGGGGAATAATGAGATTTTTAATAGCGAGCTTAATGAAATTTAGGATATCCTAAAATAACCTTTGCATGGCCAATTAGAAAATTCCATTTTATTAGTTGATTGGATATGTTTATAAAAATTATTTTTTAAGCCAATCATGTGTAGTTTGATTATCTTCTCACTTATGTGAAGAGTGAGAGGTCTCGAGTTCGAGTCTTTTCGACACCACAAGTGTTTTCACAGATTTAGTGAGTCTAGGGGAGGGTTATTCCTTGTTGTGTAGCCCACAGCGTTATTTCGGTCCATCGGACCTCCTAATGAGTTAAAAAATTATTTTTTAAATAAATACTATATATAATTAAACATTTCAAAATTTTAATTTTTATCTTTGCTAAATTAATGTTTTAATAAATATATATGATAACGAGACATTTGAAATTTTTTTATTTTATTTATTCATTATTTAATTATATTTTGATTATAATTTAAAATATTTTAAAATAAATATACTATGCAATAACGAACATTTAAATTTTTTATTTTATATTCATTATTTAATTATATTTTGATTAATAATTTCAAATATTTATTTAGGAAAGAATAGAATTAAAAGAGGAAAGACAAATATTCTTCTTTATTTTAATATTCTTTTTTTTATGTTTGTATAATTTGAATTGTATTTTTTAACAAAATAATTTTTGATAAGAATATATATAATCTTTTATTGAGGGAAGATAAAAAGAAGAAAAAAAAGTATATTAATTTTTATTAATATTTTTTCTTTATGTTTTGTAAAGAATTTGATTGGATATATTTTTTAAAAAGTAAAATTTTAAATAGAATTTTCATAATTAAATCTTGGAAGACAATATTTTAAAAATTTTGAAGATTTTATTCTAATAATAATTTTATTTTCTTTTTTTCTTTTTCGTTACTGAATAATTTATAACTACTATTATTTTAATTTAATAAGAGATTTATATCTCCATTGCAATAAATAGATGGCTTATTAATTATTAAAACTAGTGTAAAAAAATTTGTTTGGCTTAAAAAAAATAGTGTAAAACTAAAACTATATATTTTTGTTTGAGTCACTTTTTTGGATTTCAAGAATTTATGTATACATGCATATATTCATTTCTCTAATGCATTAAGTAAGTAATACAACTACTATAGCTAAAATAATTTCGATTATCAATTCAGATAATTTTCCCATTTCTTTTCTTTTACCTAGCTGTAAAAATAATGTATTCTTATTTTTTATTATAATTGTATGTAGATATTGATTTGGGGTTGAGAGCAAGAGAGGAAGATTGAGTAATGGTTTGATTTTCTTTTTAGATACCTATTAGATTTTTAAAATTTTGCATTTATAAATTAGGGACTAAATGATTTGGTCTATGGTTTGGGTTGAACATTATCTTGAGACCACTTTATTACATAAAAATAGAATTAAGTACATAAGAAGTAGCATTGTTAGTAGTTTGTATGTCAAAGTGCAATACAAATTAATCACTTGTATTTATTTTAATCTAAACAAAACTTATACTTTAACATTATACAAAAAAAAAAAGAGTATATAACGAGTATAGTCAACGTGCAACACATGTCAAACAAAAGACTAGTATATATGGGGAATATTAGCTTCTTAAAACGCCTTTGCAGACTTTTAATTTTATTGATTGATTAGTCTTATTTATTATATTAAAATTATAAATTTATTCACATTCTAATTAGAAATTTGACTTTAATCATATTCTAATATGATATCAATTTATTATTTTTATTATATTGCCACTGCCATGTCCGGATACGTATATTGGGGACTCTTAGCTTCTTAACAACAGCCTTTGCAGAGACCTTTTAAATTTTAATTGATTGATTAGGTCTTAAATATTTATTATATTAAACTTATTTTAAATGTTACTTATTCAACATTCTAATTTTAGAAGAATTTTGAACTTCTTTAATCATACTCTAATATGAATATCAAATATAATTATTTTTTAAATTGATATATTTTAATATTATATATTTAATCACATTATAATTTAGGAAATTTGTCCTTTCATAAATTACTATAGTATGTTTTGGGTTTTAATTGTTTTTGACCTTCAAAAATAATCTTTGTCCATCTTCTGACTATTCTAGAATTATTGGGCTCAAGTTTGCTATTTAGAAATGATTTAGTTTGCAATTCAATATATTCTCTTTGGGGCTAAGTATAATATTAATTTCTTCTATTCAAATTAAATATAATAAATTATATATATATTATATTATATTAATTAGTAAATTTCAATTGGGTTGGGGGTTACAATATGAAAAATATGAATATACGTAGGAAAATTTTTTCAATCACGTAGCATTGTTATTATAACCTTAGGTTTTCATTAATATAAAAAATTAATATAAAATTACATTATAAAAAATGAATAGGAATATATATATATAAAATTAAATTTTATAAGGTATATATTAGACCCTAATATGACACCTATTTAGAAATATTCGATTTCAATTTTTAAATTTAATATATATTTATTTTTGTACATTGAATTCATAATATAATTTTTATTTAGTAATTCCAATGCATTAGAAATTCATAATATTAGTGAATAAAAATTATATTAGAAATTAAAATATATATTTTAATAATTATTCACTAAGAAATTATATTAGAAATTAAAATATATATTTTAATAATTATTCACTAAGATATTCTTATTATATTACTTAAAGAATTTATATTTTTATTTAGAAATTTTAATTTATAATAATAGTGATATATATAAAAGTAGGAATAGAAAAGAGAAACTTGGGATTAACCAATAGTCCTGTTCCAGATAATGTTTAGGAAACTTGAAAAAAATTAAAATAATATATTTCTAGTTTGGGATTTCAAGAATTTGTGTGTATGTGCATATATTTTTTTTCTCTAGTGCATTGGGTAAGTAATATTATCACTGTAG